CGCCGCCGAGTCCCGCGCGGTGATGTAGGACGATTCGCGCACAAGGTCGCGGTTGAACGACGCGCCCTTGTTGATCTGCTGCGGCGAAAGCGCGGCACCAAACGTGTAGCTCGCACCGTGGATCGAGTCGAGGGCGTAGAGCACTGGCGGCGCGCCAACCTCCTTGTAGATGGCTTGGATGCGGTTGATCATGGTGCGCCACGCAGTGACGTCCTTTTGGCCGTTGAGAAAGGATCCGACACCGAGCCGCGCGCATTCGCGCACTCTGGCTTCGTCGAGGCCGTTGCTGTTGGTGATGTACGAGAGGTCGAGCTGCGTCATTTGGCCGATCCACTGGTCCACCGTCATGTTGGCGACAATCGTTTCGGCCATCGCATCGTAGTCGGGAGTGGCCACCGCCGCCGACGTCAAGATTGCAGCAGCCAGAACGAGCTTCATGGCAGTATCGGTGTCGCTGGCGCACGAGTGGGCCCGATGAAACGTGGGTTAACGAAGAAGATTACCATTGCACAGTGTGGTCAGAAGATACTCACTGTCGACGGATTCGATGGAGGCAGTCCTTACTGATATGGCATTCGCAGTTCGCACTCCGACGCGGTGAAACGTGAACATTGCTCGGCATAAACAGCACTTTATTTTATTACTCGAAATGCCGAGAAAGCTCGAGATTCCTAGTGTCATTGTCTCTGTCGTTCGCTGCCAAGTTCGCACGGCAACCAAGTTCACTTCGTCGTCCTCGAGCCGTCCGCGATAAGCGCTTGTTGTCCCCACGTTACTGTAAGCTGAGGTATCGTTCGAGACTCAACCGAGCCCTATCACGACAATGAGACATTGCCCTATCACACGTACTACTGGCGAGTGTGCTGGCATGCTCTTTGCTACAAGCCACCGCGCGCGGCAGGAGCAAGATGGCTTAGGTGATGAGCTTATTGGCGCCTTGGTGCTGTAGGACGGCGATGCAACATGGCCGCACAAAGCGCCGATGACGATAATGTCCATATCCAACGCCACACACGACGTGCACCTGGGTCGACAGACGCTCTATCATCCTGGGCACCACTTTCAACATCATCTTTTCTGCGTTTGCGCTGACCAAGTTTGTGTACCTCGTTGGGCATCGAGCAGTGCGTGAGTAGCGCAGATACCATGATAATACCCACGACCAAGGGTCCCAGCTACATGGACAACGGTCGGGCAAGCGAGCGGGGCGTTAGGAAATAGGCTGTAGGTAATCATGTTGGTTTGAGACCACGGCACATCGCCAGGATCGTACTTTGCTCCACGGTGGACGGACTCGGTTCTTGTGTTTGGATTCGCCGTTTAAAGCGTTGTCACTGCACCTCTGTCCACACAGGCTCGACCGCTCGTGTCCATCACTTTGGTCGCTTTCCGCATCATGTTAACAACGTAACTCATATCCTCGGCCTCTCTGTCGCTGTAGCCAAGTTGGGAATCATCGCCTCTGGTTGTGTCGGGTGACCGAGATAACGGTTGGCTCTCGACGGTACTCTGAGCAAACGCGGTCGTGCCTGTGTCGTCATTCATGCCGTTGTAGCTATGACATTCGTGCTGTCCGAGGACATTGGTATCATGCGTCGCGCTGTCATGCTGCCACGAGTGCGATCTTTTGGTCGACGCTGATTGGCTGAATTTAACTTGGCCCCGAAGGTGCAACCTGAGACCAGAGGCGGTCATTTCGGATATGCTGCGGAAGGTGGCCAAATCGGCGGACGTTGTCGTCGTCGGCGCCGGCGTCGCGGGCTGCTCGGCCTTCTACGGCTTGGCCAAGCGCAACCGCAACACGGCCCAGCGTGGCGCACCGTCGTCCTTCAAGCCGATGCTGCTCGACGCCATGTCGCCCATGTCGCTTACGAGCGCCCGCGGGTCGTTCCAGTACCGCAACTGGTGGCCTAACGCCGGCGAAGAGGCCATGATGCGCCTCGTGTCGCGCTCGATCGACCTCATGGACGACTACGCCGACGAGATTGATCTCAACCGCAACGGATACCTCTTTGTAACGCGAAGCGAGCGCCAAGTGTCAGTCTTCCGCGACCAAGCACTGCGCCACGAGGCGCTTGGCGGCGGCGCCCTTCGCGTGCACAACGGGTCCCTCGATGCCTACAACCCGTCGACGGCCGCCATCGACCGCGCCGACGGCTGCGACTTTATCCTGGGCGCCGACGCCGTTGCCTCGGCCTTTCCATCGCTCGCTGCGTCGGGGGCCGTCGCAGCGCTCCACGTCCGTCGCGCGGGCTCGCTCAATCCCTTCAAGATGGTGCTCGATATGGAGCTGCAGATTGTGTGCTAACTGTCGGTCGTGCGTAGGGCAACTATCAACTGACAAAGGCCACCGAGTACTGCCCGCACGCCGAAGTCGTTCGCGGCAAGATGGTCGACATCCATGCGGCGGGCGGGCGCATCTCGGGCATTACAGTTGTCATGCACAACGGCGACAAGCACTTTGTGGCAACGCCCAAGCTCGTCCTTGCGCCCGGGCCGATGCTGGAAGGCACGCTGCAGCTGCTGGCGAAGAAAAAATTGCTCGGCGACCCGCTCCCGATCCAGCACGAACTCCACGCCCGCGTGGTCTTTGATGATCCCAAGCACATAATGACTTCGTCCGCGCCGCTGACATTCGACATGGACCCGATCGGGCGGCTGCAGGTGCGTTTGCTTGCCGCCTAAGCAATGCGAGATGTATCAGTGTAGTTTGCACCGGACGAACGACAGGATGGCGATCCTCTGGCGCATGCCGAGTTTCCCGCAGGTCCTTTTTGCGTTTTGGAGTTATAGTTAAAGGACTATGTAGGCGTCCACGTGCGGCCGTATGGCGACGGCAAGGCGCTCGCAGTCTGGACCTACGACACGGCGTTTGTGGACCCCGTGTTTCCGATTCAAACCATCTTGGATCCACGGTGCGTTTCAATGTGTTTCAAGTTGACACATTGATAATTTGTGGGTAGCTATGGCGAAATCTGCCTGCGGGGCCTCACGCCGCTCTTTCCTCAAATGGCCTCGTACTTGAGCGACCCCCATGTCCTCGCGTCGATGCAGGTACCGACAAAATCGAGCAGGCAACTTTTAACGAGGTGCAGGTGGACGGCGGCTACTACTGCAAGACGCCCGACAACCGGCCGCTCATCGGTCGTTTCGCGCAGAGTGTCGATGGTCTCTACTTCCAAGCCGCCATGACCGGCGTCGGCCTCATGTACAGCTAGACTTGATAAAGCAAAGGGTTTTGACTGTGCGAGTAGGTCAAGCGCCGCCGCCGGAGAGCTCTTGGCAGCGACGGTCATGGGCGACGTCGATTTTGAGAGCCCGTCGACGCCGCCACCGTTCGCAGCGTACGCCGATGCGCTGTCACCGAACCGATTCCAAGACGAAGCGTATCGGGAGTCGATTGCGGGCATGCAGACCTCGGGCCAAATGTAATACACGGCGTTCATCAAGAGTGTTGTAGTACATAGCTGTGAGAAATGATGGGATTGCATGTCCCTGTACGTGGCCCGCTCTTGATGGGTTGGATGGCTTTGTCAAGCTTGTTTCATGCGTAAGCTGCTAGTTTGAATCAAGCGAGAAGAACATTCGCGCGTGCCATAGTCGGTGACGACGATCTTTAGTCGGGTCGGCCCTCGTGAAACCATTTGATTGGCCAAATAGACTACTCTTTTCGACCAATCAGATGTGGCGAAAAACGAGCCATGGCGCCAGCACATCTCGCGGCGCCTCGGAGGCTCGATTGAAAGTTTTTTGAAGTGCCGCCCATAGTTGGCAGATGGGTCGAGGACACTTTGGGGAGTACGAAACGCCCCGTGCGGCCGACGTTCGAGGCATAAAGCCCGAGAAATCGATCCTTGAAAGTTGCGGATGACGAGTTTTTGACGCTCAATAGCTCGTATACTAGACCCGTTGTCGGGGGCCAAATTACATTTCTTTGTAGTATACCATCTATTGAATTGTACGACGCGCAAGTTGGTGATCTATGTATCCACAATCTTGCAATACATGAGCCATTGCAAGTCCAAACCTCATCATCCGCAACCTTCAAGGATCGATTTCTCGAGCCCCGTGCCTCAAACGTCGGCCTCATGGGGCGTTTCGTACTCCCCAAAGTGTCCTCTATCGGTATGCCAATTATGGGCGACGCTTCAAAAAACTTTCAATCGAGCCTCCGGGGCGCTGCAAGATGGCCGGTGGCGCCATGGCTCGTTTTTCGCCACATCT